TTCTCAAAATAAATATGGGACTAAGAAATTTCAGATAGCTTATGACTAAAGAAACCAGGAATGGTATAAATTGTTTAGAGCTAGCCTAGCAAGGAGGAGTTAAAGCTCAAGTGAAAGATGTTATTACCTTTTTTTCTTTTTAAGCTTATTTTAGAATGTTTTTGTTAAAGATTTATACCTTGTATTGGTTCTGGGAAGTCGGGGGGGGGAGGTTGTGGGGTTTTGGGGGGAAGGGTGGGTGAGGGAAGTAAATATTTGTAAAAGTTTGGGGTTTTTTTCATTAAAAAAAAATCCACAAAAAAACCCACAATCCAATATGTATAGTTATTTATCAGAGGCTGATAAATGCATAGTGTTCTAGCTAGGGAGAATGTTGGGTGGATAAATTGAGGTGAGCAAGGTCTTGAAATGTTAACAGCTTTAATGCTAACAGGTTGCCAATGCGGCAATACACAACGTGCATGTCTCAGCTGACGGCAACAGTTGAGACCCTGTTTGACAGCTCTTTAGATATGCCCGCTGTCAAACAGGTAGCCAATCAGGAGCAAGAACAGCGCCCCCAAGGTAGGCAGACTGGAGGGAGAACTATTGGACCCGGATTGTTGTTGGGGGCAATATACCGCTTAGAGAGGGCTGAAAGCCCTATGAAGCGGTAGAAAAGTCTAACTGCTATTGCTATTGCTATAGCACATAGTTATACGGATTTATCTTACAATATCTCTGATTTACTTACAGTATCCAAAATAACTTTTTTTCACAAGGCCACTGGACTTCCTCTGTATTTCCTTGAAGACATTCACTTCTCATCCAGGAAGCTTCTTCAACTTCTTGGATGAGAAGCAAAACATCTTCAATGAAAAGCAAAGAAAGTCCAGTTGCCTTTTGGGGGAAAAAAAGCATCTTTGGCAACAACCATGATTGGGATGAGTGGGAATCTCCATAAACACTTACAATACCCATTGATGTGACTTCCATAATATAAATGAATGGCATTGTGAATCCCAGGGTCCCAGCTGAAATGCCTAAAAAAAGAAAGCCAAATTGCTTAAGTTAGTAGAAGGACATATTTAAATATGATTAATATATACCCGATACACATTGATTTAACTAAAGTTCTGAAACTATCTAAAAGAGTGGTACAAATAGAAATAGCAATAGTATTTAGACTTATATACTGCTTCATAGTGCTTTATAGCCCTCTNAGGGGTGTTCAAACTTGACAGCTTTAAGACTTGTGGACTTCAACTCCCAGAATTCCTCCTCTTGCTCTTCATCTTGATGATGTGCGGACGTGCAGGGAGGGGGGAGGGAGCTGGAACCAGTTCTAAACGGCACGGTAGATTTGTGGAACCTCTTCTATAGGATAGGTTAGAACTGGCAGGAACCCCCCCCCCCCATGCTGATGCTCCTGGTTGTGCTGATGTTTGTCTGGATTACTTCAAAGTGCTAACAGAAACACAGCACTAGATAATCCACCAGAGGTGGTATTCATCCAGGTCTCACTGGTTCTGGAGAACTGGAAGTGGAAATTTTGAGTAGTTCGGAGAACTGGCAAATACTACCTCTGGCTGGCTATCTATTCACTGCATCCCAAGTCCCAGCTAATTGGCATCCCAGCTGATTGTCTGGATCTTCTTCTGTTGCCCTGTACAGGAGAACAGAGCTGGAAATCAGGTTAGTGGGGTGGGGAGGGAATGGGGATTTTACAGTATCCTTCTCCTGCCACGCCCACCAAGCCTTGCCCACCAAGCCACACCACACCCACAGAACTGGTAGTAAAACATTTTGAATCCCACCATTAATAATCTTCCCTTTCCCTTCCAACTTTTACGTGTGTCCGGCCAGGGCTAGCTTTTTAAGTGGCCTATATTGACACTGGAATTAATTTCCTGAAAGGAATAGAGCCATAATGAAAACTGGAATAAATAATATTTGAATGTACAATACTAATTATTCTAAAAAAAATGTTTGTCACATTACTCAGCCCTGCTTTTACAAGAGGATAAAATGTTTTTTTTTTCCAAACTAGGCTCTCATCATTAATAATTGATAGTCGAAATACAGTAGAATACGAGGATGTGGCATTCAATTTTATTAAAGTTAACTGCATTTAAGATTATTGACACTCTGTCAGCATTAGAAACAGTTTTGAGCTGCTTCCTGAGATCAACAGAGAGCGTCTGTGCATCTGTGTTTGTGTTTACCCTTCTTTTTCTTCTTTTGCAGATCTCATAAAACATTTGCTTTTTCAGCCAGTGAGACATGCAGCCACAGGGTTCCTCTTCTGCTAGTGAACTCACCAATTCAAATTTAATAAAGAAAAGATAGGACTTTCTCTCCTCTCTGTCCAGTGTCTTAAAGTGGTAGGGAGGTGGCATAGTTTAATTACAATTCTTTTGTCTTTCAAAACCGAGCATTAGGCAAAGATTAAGCCTCAAGAGACATCTGGCATCGAATCTGCACCAGATAAATGCTGAAGATAGAAAAGGAAAAGTAGAAAAAGAAAACCAGATTGCATCATTAGAGCAGATGGTTGCCTCTTCTTCTTATCACTGCTGATTCTGAAGGCCTCAGGCAAAACTGATAGGACTCCTAGCCCACCTGGTTAACAGTAGCATTAAGCAGATAAAAACATCTTCTTGAGCTTCTTCTTCCCAATGTAATTGGCTCCAATGACCTTGGGAAGGAAGGAGGAGAAGCATACACTTTAGTTGGTAACGGTAGCAGCAAATGCTTTCTTCCTTTTGTATCTTACATCAGTTTTTGCCATGTTCCAGTTGAACTCCCTTTTTATGATGCCGTAATCCCCTAATCTGAGATAGAGTCGCAGTGAATGGATGGAGCTGAGCATTTACTGGCCCAGATGCCCTTCCTGATGCCCATGTAAAGTTCACAGCAGATTATTTATTATTATTATTATTATTATTATTATTATTATTATTATTATTATTATTATTATTATTATTATTATTATTATTATTATTATTATTATTA